ATGATGAACTTCCCTTCTCATTTGGGATGGATGGAATGTATCTAGCCGAACTTCGCATCATAAATCCAACTAATTCCTGTTTTCTGGATGTCTTCGTAACTCTAATTTTTCCCTTTAATCTGGGTGGGCTCTGTCTCTTTGCCCTAGTAACAGCCGCTTATTCCTTACAGTTTCTGCTGTAATACCTATAACAATCACCTCTTTCTGGAATCTTTTGAGAAAAGCTGTTATTCCATACTAGCCTTTGCTTGGAGTTCCTGTCAATATAGTTCCTTAAAATAGCTATTGTTGAGTAGTTTTTCTCCTCTGTTCTGTTTAACTGGTTGTCTAACTAGCATTTCAATTCTTCTGTACTATCGAGAGGGTGAATTGATGTTTCATTGCTACAGAAACTAATATCCCCATAACTTCTAGTAGTTTATCTGCAACTTTGTTGGATTTAAGTTCGAACAACAACTACAGAGTTTCATTTAAAAATATGTATCTACTTTGTTTTAGCAAGATCCTCATATCCCCATTTGTTGTTGCTGACAAATCCACCATTTCACGAGGACTGTCCATGCAAAATTATTTGGTCAAGCTCTTTCAAATATTCTGCAAGTTTGGCTAAGATATCTTCTTGCCTCTGTACCCTGTTTGGAACATTGCTTTGGATGCTTCTTTCTACTGTGACATTTGAACTTTTTGGATAAGGTAACTACCAATGGTTTATAGTTGCTACAGCTCTCAGCTGAATGCTTACTTAATGTTGTGAAATCTGGTCCTTTCAGATGGGCAGGAAGATGGATAGCTTGATGCTCATTATTACATCTATCCACTCTGAATAATTATTTCAAACTGAGCTTGATATGACTCCCATGACACCTTCCCATCAAAATCCACTGGCTTCTCAATCAGCCACTTACGTTCTAGAATTGGATTTAGTAGTGTCATAGCTGAAAACTCCAAGAAGGTCCTTCAGTAACATGTGGCATAGCAATAGTGGCAGTAGATGTAGACCAAATGCGTTTTCCTATTCCATATCTAGTAGTAAATGTTGTTTTATGTTGGAACTCTGCTTCTTTCCATCAAGGTGTTGTTCAATCTCGGTTTAAAACAAAGAATAGCAGATTATAAAAATTAAACTTGCTTCTTTTTCTCTCTTTTTTTTTGATGCAAATGTGAGTTGTTTGCATTTGTTCTAAGCTTAGGAAATAAACGGGATGCTGTGTCGATACAAGTCACACACAGTTCACAGTGAAAAAACAAGAGACTGTAATGTTACGGTTTCAACTATGATTATAATTTAAATAGATCAATGTTTATTGTTTGTTTGCTTGTTTCTGAATTTCGCGCAAAACTACACGAGGGCTATCTGCGCTAGTCGTCCCTAATTTAGTAGTGTAATACTAGAGGGAAGGCAGCTAGTTATCACCACCCACCGCCAACTCTTGGGCTACTCTTTTTTACCAACGAATAGTGGGATTGACCGTCACATTATAACGACCCCACGGCTGAAAGGGCGAGCATGTTTGGTGGGATGGGAATTCGAACCCGCGACCCTCAGATTGCGAGTCGAGTGCCCTAACCACCTGACCATCAATGTTTGAACTCAACCATATTTCCAAAATTCTCGTTGGAATTTCTATCATGATTGAAGTTTACAGTAAGAACAGGGTATTAAAAGGAACATTGTCGATTACAAAATATATTTTTTTTTACCTATAGAAACAACATATACAAGGTATTGGAGAATTCCACGTGATCCATAAGAGTGCTGAAATAACAAGAAGTCATACGACAGAACGAGAATTTGCTGTACGTGATTATGTTTGTTGTCGCGTGTATATCTAGCTGTTGGGATATGTTTAGAAACGCGTATTAATTTTAATTAATTCAGCTAACCCACCTGATTAAACAGTAGTGTAATTTAATAGGGTCTCCCAATGGCTCAGTGCTAAAACCGGGGTTTCTATACCCGTGGTGAGAACAGCACAGATGGTCTGTTTTGTAGCTTTATTATGCTTAACAACAAACAAGCAAATTAATACTGACAGGTAATGAATTTTAGTAAGGATACGATACTTCTTTTGGTTAAAGCATTTGAATGTTTAATGAGTAATAGGGCAACAAAGGGGGAAAAATATGTAACCAATAATATATGTTTGTAGACGCACTCACGTTACCCCCTCCCCCCAATTTAATTTATTTTAACAAGGGTTGTTAGTACGTAAACATATTCTTCTGTAGGATGGATAGCCTTAAAGAGCGAGTCTAAAACAGGTAAAAAGGCATTAATTCATAGTTAGAAAGATACATCAGTGAAGGGTTCCAATACGTTCGGCCCGGCATGGCCA